TTTCACCACCTCTGCTCCCACAGCTGCTAGAACTTAACACCAAAAAATTATGACCCATCTACCCCTCCTGTCTCCAGTGATGAGACTGAGATCCAAAGAAATGTGACCTCATATTAACTAATCACATCTGCAGCAATTTTGCTTCCCAATAAGGTCACATTCTGAGATACTGGGGTTAGTATCGGTACTTCAACATATGAATTTGGGGGGACACAATTCAACTGCTTCCTGCCCTATTCAGATAAAGGTCTTGACCAAGCCAAGGAAGCTTCGTGTTAACACCAGGTTCTTAAGGAAAAGATGGGAGCCTATTTGACCACTGTTGGGAAGAAGTCAGGAGGTGGGGGTGAGGGTAGGGTAGGGGGAGTAGAGAGATGTCCCTGAGAAGGCGTTAGAGGGATAAACCAGGGATAAGCTTGAGCACTACAGGAGACACTTGCTATATTATCACAAGGAAGCAGGAAAGAGAAAGGCATGAGTTTGGATAAAAAGTGAATCTGCAGATGGAGATGGGGAATTCCCTTCAGATGGTGCCTGCTTTCTCCATGAAGTGGGAGGAGAGATTGCCTATTGCGGGTGACAATGAAGTTTGGGATTGGGGCTCAGTAGAGGGGCAGGCGATGAAACCAGACATTTGAGGAGAGCAGGGGAAATCTGAAATAGCCCTGTGCATAACAGACATCAGCACTCTATGCCTTGAGTAGGTACCCAATGTGTCATTACAGAAGAGAACTTGTTATCATTATAATAATAAAACAAAATAAAAACAAATGGGAGGGTGAGCTGACCAGGGAAATAAAAAAGGGCTTCCTAACAGTAACAAGGGCCCAGATGGTGTTGGTGACCATAGTTTTTAATGGCACCATCTGCAGGGTGTGTGGTTTTTCCAACAATGCTCAACAGATGGGCAATTGAAGTAGAGAAAGTAAACAATTGAGTTCATCCAGGTCTGGGCTTTGCCCACAAGGGTGCACTGAAAGGAGAAAGTGGCAAGGAGGTTGGGGATATTTGTAAGAGGAAGAAAGCTCAGCAGCCAAGTTGTTGGAGAAGGAAGTGTGAAGTGAAAAGGCTTTGACTATTTCTTCTGAAGAGGCTTGAGCATATCTTTTGTTTTCTGTTGACCACAGTACATTGTTATATTGCTGCCTCCTGGAGGAACAGATGTTACCAGATGTGATGTGCTAATGAGCTGCAAACTGACGAGCTTCCCAGCTGATCTTTCTACTCTAAGGTGGTCCTGACTGGTTGCAGCTGGGCAGTTCAGTGATTTGTGCCCAGTGAGTGCTATCACAACTGTCAGAGCATGCACTGGGGATATATTTACCCCTCTGAAAGGATGTCAATACCAAATGCATATTTGTATGTTGGTTCACCAGCTAGGTCAGCCTGCTAATCTGAATGTCATTTCCAAATACTGTAAGGGCCAACCCTGATTATTTGAATTTTATTATTGTGAATAATCCAAGGCTACAGGTTTTCTCTTAGTTACCACATTTCAAATAAAAATATGGCTATCATTCTAAATATTGCTGTTATTTTTATATACTTCTACTGATGCTATTATTAACACTCAATTTGGAACTCCAAGTTATTAGAATCACTTTGAGATATTAACATGCAAATAACAGAAATTAAAAAAAAATTTTTTTAGTAGTATACTTAAAATATTCCTAGTACAGACTAGTTAAAATTAAAAAAAAAAAACTTTTTTTCAAGAGCAATGGGGATTCTCATACTTCACTGGAGAGAATACAAATTAGTACAACCACTTTGGAAAACAGTTTGACATTTTCCATTAAAGTTGAAGATACAAATATCTATCATCCACCACTTCCATTTATATGTATATGCACAACAAAAGTAGATTAATATCTACTTAACAGTATTATTCATGATGGCCTAATATTGGAAACAATTTAAGTGGCCATGAGCATTAAAATGGATGAATATTCATACAATGGAATACTAAACAACTATAAAAATTAAAGGCTAACCTATAGGCAACAAGATAGCTGGATTTCACAGACATAACACTGAGAAGAAGCCAACATAAGAGAATACATACTGTATGATTCAATTTTAAAAGCAGTGAACAGGAATGTAGACTTAAGTGGGTAAAGTATAAAGGGCACAGAGAGAATTTTCACAATAAGATCGTTACCTTTAAGCAGGCTCACTCCAACATTTGTGGGGCTTAAATGGAGAACTTCATATCAAAGGCCTAAATATTTAAAGTTGTAAAGTAAACTTTCCGGCTATTGAATAAAATATATTCAATCCTCCTACCTCCACAAATATCTCAGCATGACAATCTGGAAGGTGAGATAGACTTTAGAATTTTTAGATTGCTTAGACATTCTCACTGGAATGAACATGTGACAAAAGAAGAAGCAGCCCCCGGGCCCCGGGGGCCACGCACCTTCTCCCCCATAATCTCTCCGTCCCATCAAGGGCCTTCGTATTTATGTATGTGCATTCCCTAGTCTTAACATCTAACCTTACATCCATAGCTCCTCAACCCTTAGGAAGGTAGCCCTGAGGAAGAAGCCTGGAAGACCTGGAAGTAGGTATAGTCTCATTTGGACAAGGAATCCAAATGTCCCTATACTTGGTCCATGATTAGAAAAGGACTCTTGGATCCCAGATAGACATGGCCTCTTGGCCATACAGACTCTTCTCTCCTTGGAAAGGGACATAGCTAGGGGGATGCTAAAAGTTCAAAAACAGAAGGCCCAGCCTAGCTGGCATAGCTCAGTGGTTAAGCATTGATCTATGAACCAGGAGGTCATGGTTCAATTCCTAGTCAGGATATATGCCTGGATTGTGGGCTCAATCCCTAGTATAGAGGTCTGTTTGGGGTGTGCAGGAGGCAGCCAATCACTGAGTTCTCATCATTGATAGTTCTATCTCTCTCTTTCTTTCCCTTCTTCTCTGAAATCAATTTTTAAAAAAATACAAAACCCAACACAAGGTCCCCTGCATGGGCAGTACTGCATATAGAGAAAAGAGGGGGTTGTATTGGGAAGGGCACCCAGAAAACGTCCGGGGTCCTGGCAGCATTCAATGGCTTGACCTGGGTGGCAGTTACATTCATAACAATTTATTAAGCTCTACATTTGGTTTATACAGTTTTCTGTAGGTGTGTTATATTTCACAATAAAATTTTATGAAATCTCGCTATATATATTATTCCTTGTGCTGTGGTTTATGGGATCCTCACAGACAAGCCTGCTATGAGTGGCTGCCTTTGAGCTCAGACATCTTGTGCAGTTAAAATGTCTCAGGGTGTGAGTCCCTTAGGGGGAAATGGACAGAATGTTGAAAACAGACTAACTCTCACTGCTGATTCCCCGCCGTCTGGAGCTAACACTCTTGGGCGACCATGGCTAAGTTCGGGCAGAGTGAATGAGTCACGGCCCATGTCCTCTTGCCTGGCCATGGCAAGTGCCTCAGAGAAAAATTCCTTTCCCCCTTAACCAGAGTTATAAATACTGTGTTTATCAAACCAAAATTATAGGAGACTGCTCCCATTCTGGTAGAAGTGAAAGGAGACCAACTCTCAATTACCGTCTGATTGGAAAACAGTTCTAGAAAGACTTTCCCCCATAAAGGCAGCTGAGTAGGTCCATTACACAGTTCGCTGGATTTCCACTATGTGCCAAAACAACCCTTATTTTTCTGCTCCACATCTTAAAACATCCATTTACTTGGGGTATTTTCATTCTTGATAGGAAAAACATTTTTCTTTTACAAATGTTCAGCTTCCTGGACCTGAAAAAGATTTCTGTGTGCCCCACATGGTTTAAGTATCAGGTTTTTTTCTAAGAATATATATTTCAATGAAGGTCCATAAAGACCCAGACATACACACCCCATCCCAAAACTGAACTTTATGGTTGTGAGATGATGAAAGGGGGTGAAAACTAGCCAGTACTAACCAACCAAACCCCAGGCAATTCCCCCCAAAAAATCAAATTCTGAGCTTTGCTTCTAAGCTGTTTAAAAGCCACAGTGCCAAAACACCAGTTTTCCTCATTTTCAGGAAACAGGAAAAGCATAGGGTTCCTGTAATCTTTGCAAGCTGTTGCTGAGAGGTAGTCAGACATGTCCAAAGGCTTCAGAATGATACACATAGCAACGTATTGCAGTGTTTCCCAAACTTTTGACATATGTGTACCCCTTCTATAATTTTCATAACACTGAGTACCCCTCGTACTCATGAGAACATAGAATTAGGCGCAGCTAAGCACGGTGCAGTGCATATCCCCACCAAACTCTTCCTGTATCCCTGGGGGTACGTATATCACACTTTGGGAAACACTGGTTTAAAGGGAACCAATGAGGCAGTGGAATGGAGGAGGGAGAAAGGTTAAATCAATGACAGGAATAAAGTTGTGGATTATGAAGGATCACTCACTCCTCCTATTCTTCCCCAATAAGAAAAATACCTGGCAGACATCACTCAAGATGCCTTCTGAAGTTTACCTTTCCTTCTTTTGTGCCCTCACCAGACCCACTTCCTATCCCACCAGAGTACCTGAGACATCTTATTGCATTGCATTTTTTTGTTTTCCTTATTAAACTGCAGGTCCCTTGAGAACAGCTCTATATTTTATCTGTCCTTGAAGTTCCAGCTAATGCATAGTGAAAACTTCATAACTGCTTTCTTTGATTGCATGAATGAATGAATGAATGAATGATGGATTCCTTTCATAAGACTATGGTTGTGGCTTTTCCAACTGCTATGACACAATCGCTAAGTGATGAGAAGTTTCTCAGCCTTTCCTAGAGTTTACAAATTTCCATGATTCTAACTTTTTTTTTTTCAGGTTCAGGAAGCTGTGAATTCTGTAATGGTATACCCAGCGTGAGGACATCGGGTATTCTTTAGAGTTATGAAAAGGAAGAAACTGGTCAGCAGAATAAAGCACTGGAATTGTCCTTTTCAAGATCCAGAGCTCCAACATTCCTTGGCTTAAAAGAGAGAATCACCTGGGACAATGTGGGCAAGGGTGAGTAATGATGACAAAAACATACTTTTGGTGTGTTTGCCTTTTGGCCAGTTCAACTCAAACTAATTCTATTGGAACAATAAAACAATGGTGTTTCATTCTCATCCAGGATTACAACTCAATGTTTGAAACTAAAAGGTTAATCTTAATTCACCAGATTTTTCTGTTAGGTAAATCTTTTTATATGGGTACACCGTGCCCACAGGCATCCCTCTTCCATTCAGAAATCTCTGGGGAAGCAGTCTTCAGGGTACAGATGGAGCATTCTGCTCAGTATGATTAGTGCCCAAGCAGGGGTGGAAGCTGACTTTTCAGAGGCTGATCATTTGTTTATGGATTATCCAATTCTCTGGTGCCTCCTTTTCCTGTCTGCCAATCATCTTTAAACCATTCCCCTTCCATTCAACCATTCAAAAAAAAAAAAAAATCAGCGTAGCTTGTATGGTGGTTAGGGTTAAAATGGCCAATTCTCCTATTTAACTAAGGCTTCCTAAAGGTTTTGTGAAAAATAAGTAGAAGTGATATGCAATTGCTATTAATTGACTTTTAAGGGAGGCAGGCAGCCTGGCATGGCCCTGCAGCACTGGGGCCAGGCAGACCTGGATTGATGTCTTCACGCTTATATCCATCAACCCTGAGCCAGCTTCTTGGCCCTTCTGAATCTCTGTTTCTAAATTCATAAAATTGTGATAGGAGGATTATATTGAGGATGAAATGAGAAGATGTACATAATGTAACATGTGCTCAAAAGAAAAATAATTCCTTTATGTGCTCAGATCATGTATTTGTTGTCTATATCCATCAACACAAGTTAGAAAGTACTGGGCAGGCACATCATTCTAAAAAGGGCTCGATTTCATTTGCAGGGGAACAGCTGTAAGGTAAGTAAAATGACAAATTTTGTTAAGTATTTAAAGAATTTCTATGGAAACCTTTAAAAACAAATTAGATTTTCATAATACCACTAAAGGCTTGGTGCATGAAAATTCATGTACTGGAGGGGTGAAGGGGCCTGCTCCTTCTCACAGTCCAAGATCCCTCAGGAGTGAGAGGTAACCTGGCGGTCAGGGGAAGGTGACACTCCCATCAGGGGAGCAACCAAGTCTAGCTGGAGCCAGATTCCCATGGGTCAATTCTCTCATCAGGCCTTTCCTTCCACTTTCTCCCACCTTCCTCCTTTAATAATTTCTTTTATCTGCATAGAATACTCATTCTGTGCTGCAGAACTCTGGGTTTTATTGAATCCTTTTTTGAGGGCTTACACTCAATGAGTATTTCCAAAGCACAACTCTAAGCAATTTACATACTCAGCCCTATTTTGTAGATGAAGAAACTGAGGCATAGGATGTAAGTAACGTGTTCAAGGTCATACTATTTGTTAGTGCCTGTACTGGGGTTCAAATCAGGCAGTGTGGCTTCAAGTCTATATTTTAAACTAAGCATACTGCCCTCAAAAAAAAAAAAAACAGCAGGAATGTATGCTTAGGAAACACTGATGACAAGGAATAAATGCTCCTTTTTATTAGGTGACACTAATAATTTCCAAATATTTACATTCTACTTAGCCTACCATGAAGTTACAAGAAAGTGGGTGTGTATAGAATATCAAAAGAAAGTATAATAATTTTTTTTAATCCAGAAGTGATTAAAATAATGATCTCAAAGAACCCTTGGACTCTAAACATAGATAATTCTAACGCAAGGGGAGAGATCAACCAAAGGACTTATATGCATCCATATAGCCTAATCAATGGACATAGACAACAGGGAGGTCAGGGCATCAATGGGAGGTAGGGGGTAATGTGAGAATAAGGACACATATGTAATACTTTAATCAATAAAGAAGTGAAAAATAAAAAAATTAAATTAAAAAATAAAGCAAAGTCAAGATTTCAGGTGGCAGAATTATCTGTTTCTCAAGTCTAGAGTACCAAAAGTTGAGAATCAACATATATTTATAATAATATCAGTCGATGTCCTACTCTCACAATGAACAGTGCTAAATGTTCACTGCAGAGACTCAAATGGGATGAAATACTGACTTACTTTACAGAATACTATGCTTCTTTCTCTCTCTTTCTCTTCCCCCTCCCTTCTGCTGTTTTTGTCTTCATTTAACAAAACTGGCTGAGTAGATATTAAAAAACAAGGAGAGATGATTTTCATTTCACTTTTCACTAAGAAATTAATATTTGTGCCAAATGATTTAAGGAATCACAAATAAATGCAATTTGTTCCAGTTCAGATTTGTAATTTGGTTTGGTTAAAGCCACTGAAGTGTCTGATTCTGTGACAGCTTATTGTCATAGAATTTCAGGACTACTAAGTTTTTTTTGTTGCTGTTTTTTTTTAACTGATTTTTACCAAGAGATAAAGGCAGAAGGGGAGTGAGAAACATCAATGTGAGAGCAGGGCATTCTCTTGCATACCCCGACCGATGGTCCAGCCCGAACCCCGGGCATGTGCCCTGACACAGGAGCCTTTTGGTGCATGGGATGATACCCAAACAACTGAGCCACACTGGCCAGGGCAGGACTAAAGGGGATTTTTCAACAGGTCATTACTTTACTTTAAAAGATCATCCTATCTAATAAAGAGGGAATACGCTAATTGATCATCATACCCTCACAAAGATGGCAGTGCCAACAACAAATAAGGAAGGAATATGCTAATTGACTACCACACCCTCAAAATGGCAGCACCCACAGCCACAAGATGGTGGTGCCCAGTACCTTCTGCCCCATGGGGCAGCAGGTATGAAGCATGGCCAGGTGTGCCTACCTCTGGAGTCCCTCAGCAGCCCAGAGCAAGCACGAGGTACAGGCAAGCCTCGGATGGCGGCTGCCCAGCTGCCCAGGGCTGGCTGAGGTTTGTGTTGCTGGCAGTGGCAGCAGCAGAGGGCTTAGATTTTGTGGTTCTACCAACAACAATAAATATATCATGAGGGCATGGCCAGCAAAATCTTTTAAGAAACCCTTTACACACACACACACACACACACACACACACACACACACACACACACACACACACTCAGTCAGCAAATAACAGCCAGGCCTGAGGTAACTGCAAATACCAATGAGAAAGTGGAGAGACCGTGCAGGAGAGCCATGGGAGAGCTGCAGGGAGGCCAGCACAGGCAGCCTTTCTGCAGGACTCAGTGTTGTGTGTGGAGGCAGCAAGTTCCAGTGCCCTAGACTGACTGAGCTCCTCCTTTTCAGTGAGTTCACCTAGGTAGCTTGATGATGGCCATAGTGGGGGTATTTACACCACAGAAATTGGCAAAGACTATACATCAGGGCAGTTGGGTTTGGTTTCATTTTCAGAAAGCTGGTAGTTAAACATTTCCCAATATACTACTGGGGTTATAAAGGGACTGGCTCAGAAAAATGGAAAAACTGTAAAACTTTCTTTTTTTTTTTTTTTTTTTTTTTTTTTTTTTTTTTTTTTTATTCCTTACTCTTCCCCTTTACACTAAGGCAGGAAGCTGGCAGTTGGACATGGTCTGTTATGGTTAATTGAAAGAAAGAAAGAAAGAAAGAAAGAAAGAAAGAAAGAAAGAAAGAAAGAAAGAAAGAAAGAAAGAAAGAAAGAAAGAAAGAACCAGACTGAACTGTTACCTCACAGAGGCCAAAAAGCATTGACTGAGAGAACTTGAAAAATTTGTCACTTTTTCCCCATTAAATTCAAGTTCATCTCAGGTCCAAAAGAGCTGTCAGACTATGTGTTTACATATGCCATATGTCTGTGATAAATGTCCTAAAAAGGAAGATGCAGTAAAGTGGAGTAAGTCATATTCTCTTTTTTTCACCTTTTAAAAAATAATATTATTCTAACATATTTTACAGAATATGAAGACTCTATCTACTGAGAATTAATACCTTATCTTCTTATACTTAAACTAGAGGCCTGTTGCACAAAATTCGTGCAAGAGTAGGCCTTCCTTCCCCTGGCTACCAGCACCAGCTTCCCTCTGGCACCCAGGGCCCGGGCTTCCCTCACACACCAGCTTTGTCCGAAAGGTTGTCCAGAAGGACATTCGGTCTAATTAGCAAATTACACTTTTATTATTATAGATGAAAATTTAATCTGTTCCTCTTTCTAGGTTCTGTGAGAGTAAAGATGAAAAAATAGGGAAATAAAGAAGAGCTCTAATCTACCTTTATTAGTCTGCTCCATCTGCCATAACAGAGTGCCATAGATAAGGTGACCGGAACAACAGAAATTAATTTTCTCACAGTTCTGGAGGCTGACAGTTCACAACCAAGATGTCAATAGGTTTAGTTTCTTCTGAGGCCTCTCTCCTGGCCTTATAGATAGTCATCTTCTAACTGTGTCTTCACAAGTCCTTTCCTCTGTGTGTGTGTCTGTGTTCTAATCTCCTTTCTTATTAGAAGGATACCAGTCATACTGAATTATGGTCCATTCTATGATAATATTCCTATTTAACCATAATTGCTCCTTTAAAGACCTTATCTCAAGTACAGTCACATTCTGAGACGCTAGGGGTTAGGATTTCAACATTTGAACTGGGGAAAGGGTGCATGGGGATATAATTCAGCCCATAACAGTGCGTAAGCATAAACATAATGTATCCACAAGAAAAAATTGACTTAACAACATCCTAGAGAAGTAAATCAGAAGGGATGGAAGTTTGGATGAAGGAGGTTTGTGGGGAGTGCTCTTAGGACCACTCATAGGCAGTCAGGACACAGGATTGGACAGAGAGAGAGAGGAGGGTTGCAGCACTATTACAATAAAGGCCCTGACTACCTGTGTGGGCCCTCTGAGGCTGGGGTGGTCCATCAGAGTTCTCTGGAATTGAAGCAAAGGCCTGGGGTATAAAGCCTTTACACCCCTGCCTGACTGCCTGAAGCAGAGGTAAGATGTGGATTGTCCCAGGGAGGAGGCATGACATGCATTAAGAGGCTCTCTTCAGTTAAGGCTCAGTTCAGGAGGGGACTCGGTTGAGCTGCCAGTCATCAAGTTTTCAGAAGGTG